AGAAGTCTGGTCAGTAGACTTGTTGACCTAGTGATCCGTTTGTTTATGTCTTCTACATTGCTGTAGAGCATTTACATTTATTTGCATTCATTTTATTCTGCAAAAGTTATTTTACTTTTTTGCTAATAGCTGCATTTGAACTATGGGCCTTACACTTGCTAGGTAGGTGCTTTACCACTGAGCCATGCCTCTAGCCTGCAAACATTATTTTGAAAGGGACTTGGTTGAAGAATGCCTTACGGGTGGGGGTCTCTCCATGTTAAAGAATATCTATAAATACCTTTATCAACTTTTTTTGTGTGTGTGCCAGTTCTGGGGTGTGAACTCAGGGCCTGGGCATTGTCTCTGAGCTTCTTTTGCTCAAGGGTAGCGCTCTACCACTTGAGCCACAGCACCACTTCTGCCTTTTTCTGTTTATATGGTACTGAGGAATTGAACCCAGGGCTTCATGTACACTAGGCAAGCACTCTACCACTAAGCCACATTCCCAGCCCAACCTTTTTTTTTGTATTAGTTACTGAACAATTTGTCTGCAATTCTAACTCTACAAGACTAAAATGCTGTTAACTTATGGGAAGGTAATGACTTAGGGGGCTCCCTACATAGAGAAAGCTCCCCCAAGCGCAATCAGAGTTCCGTGGTTAACAGTTTGCATTTTTGAAATGATCTGTGCTTTTTCTGATATGGTGACACATGGCATCATTCTACTATGGTTTGGAGATGCTATCCCTGAAGACCTCTGGGAAGTGGTAGAGCCATTAAGAGATGGAACCTACTGGAAGGGAGGGAGGTCACTGGAGGTGTGTCTTTGAAGGAGAGGGTGAGACCCTGGTCTCTTTCTGCTTCCTGATGGACATAAGGTTACAAGTCTCCATCAAATACATTGACAGATACACTGTACCCTATAGGCCCCAAGTCACCTCGAGTCACATCCTTTCCTCCTTTTAAGTTGCCTACCTCAGCTATTTTGTTCCAGCCTCCGAAAGCTTGACTGAGACACCATGTCTGGCACGGGATGTGGGGGTGATGTGTTGCTTAACACGTAAGATGCTTTGGGTGGTCTTCATACAAACGGATATTCCGTATTTTAACTCTCTCCTGTTCTCGGTTAGCTTTTGTCTGTCAATACTCAAAGAGAGATTATTAGATAATACTAACCTAACCCATTTTTATCTCCCTATGCTGGTCCTAAGGCTTAGATTCCGGGTCTGGACACTAGCACTATACCACTTGAGCCACAGCTCTACTAATAGTTTTTTTGGTTAATTGGAGGTAGGAGTCTCACAGACTTTCCTCAGGCTGGTTTTGAACCCTGAATCCTCATATGTTGGCTTCCTAACTAACTAAGATTATGGGCATGAGCCACCAGTGGCAGGCCAACTTCATTGACTTTTTGTGTTTAATCCTAATTACTTATGGAGCATGAGAGATTTCAGTCAACCTGCCAGAAGTAACATTTGTACTGTTAACATATTGAAAGAGTAGGGAACATCCAGCCCATTGGCCATATAAGGCCAGAGAAATTATTTGGTAGATGGATGGCTAGACTGATACATACTCTTCTCATTCTTCTTATTGGCTGTCATCAGCTGTCCACAGCTGTATTGATGATGTTGTAAAGCCCATGAATGATGTTATACAGACCCGACTAAAGACTGCTCACCCATGCTTTTAGGTGGGCTTTTCACACAGAGTTCTGAGGACTACCTTGACATCCGAAAGAATGAAATATTTAGGATTAGCCTGAGCACAAATGTGCCACTACAGGCTTGGTATTTTCCTGTGCTGCGTGGTGGAATTCACTGGTGGATTGCCTTTGATTTCGAATACTGGGTATATGGCGACGGTGCGCACACTGTGCCAACTTCGAATGGAAGGAGTCCATGAAGTTCAGCTGCATCTAGGCCTAGGAGTGATTAGCCAGCTAGTGGTTTGTTTAACACTGCTCCAGAGGCAGTGGGGGTGGGTGGTAGGGGGAGAACCAAAATGCTCTTGGTTTTTGCTCCTCAAATACCCCAGGGTCCCAGGAAATGTTTAGTGTGTGGCTGGCGCCATGCCATGTTGCAGATGAGTAGGCTGACCCGGGACGTGCTCTGAGAGAGACGGGAGTGATGGGGTAATTAGAGCCAAGCAACAGCAGGGGGGATGGATTGTGTGTGGATCGTAGCACATTCGCGAACTGCCAACACCAGATTTTTCTGGGCAATTAGATGTCTGGTTTCTTCCAAGGCCTTCTGTGCAACTGCGAACAGACACATGGCTGCAGGGCTTGCAGGTAGCAGGTGTCATGAGGGCAGCTCTCTGGGGTCAGTGGCCCCTCTCCAAAGGCTGCCCTGGGGCCGAGAGCAGGACAGAGCCGTCACCGACAGGAGGGAGCATCAGCTCTCTGGGGACCTATTGTGGAAGAGCAGAGTTTCCCTGCTTTATGTGATCAGCAGATCCGGGAACTGAGTTCACATCTCCACTCGCTTCAACAGCCAGGAGCTGTGGGTACTGATAGCAGTAGAAATAATAGTACATCCTCCCTGATCACGTGTGTATCACATAAACCCTTCCCTTTAAACTGTTTTAGTAGTTCTTTGTCAGCATCTTTGCTGTATTTTGCTTTGGTAGCATGAATCGCTGTATTGTGCACAAGGTGTCATGTTGATGGCCCATATATATGCATTGTACCTTGACCAGACTCACCTGCCCTCTTCCTTGTCTCCCCTTCCCAAGCCAATCTCAGCAGTCTTCACTGTTCCATTTTTTACAAATTTACATAAACCTATTTTGACTACATACACCTTCCTTCACTCTCCTTTACCCTCCCCCTTCTAATAGCAACCAGAACCTGTTTTATATTTCCATCATTTTTTTTTTGTCTGTCATGGCACTGTCTCTAGCTCTTCAGCTCAAGTCAAACACTCTACCACTTGAGCCACGGTGCCACTTCTGGTCTTCTGGTGGTAAATTGGAAATAAGCATCTCATGGACTTTCTTGCCCGGGCTGGCTTTGAACCATCATCCTCAGATCTCAGCCTCCTGAGTAGCTAGGATTACAGGCATGAGCCACCAGAACCCAGCCATCATTCATTTTCTAAGTGTAGGCATTGTAATCATTTTAAATGTTCAGCTGAGTGGCATGGATTATATTCACAGCATTGCACAACCATCACCACCATTTCCAAACTTTTTTCTCACTTCAGTCAAGAACTCTGCCCTCATTAAGCAACAACTCCCCCTTCTTTCCTCCCTCTGGCCCAGCTCCAAATAACTTCTAATCTACTTTTTGTCTTTATGAGCTTGTTTATTCTGGACATTTCATGTCTATTATAGAATTATGTAGTATTTGTCCATTTGTGTGCAGCTAATGGCCTTCTTTTTCACAGCTTAATACTATTCCATTGTATAGATACATCATATTTTGTTTATTCATTCATCTGTTAATAGACACTTGGGTTGTTGTCATGAATATTCACATGCATGTGTTTCTTTGAGTCTCCACCATCAGTTCTTTGGGATATGTAGGATCAGATTGCTGGGTCTTATAATAATTCTGTATCTGACTTTTTAGCAGCTGCACTTTTGTATAGACCTGTCTGTGCCCAAAGCTCTGAGTTGCTTCTTTTGTCAACACTTATTCTTTTCCTCTTACTTAAAAAAAATTACAGTCACGCTAATGGGTGTGAAGTAGTATAGTTCTGTATTTTTGATTTGTTTTTCTCCGATTGCTAGTGACATGGGGAATCTTGTCATCAACTTACTGCCTGTTTGTATGAGAAATCCCTTTGCCTGGTGAGTTGGGTTTTTGCCTCTACAGGGGTGTGGCTCTGCTCCCCTGTCTTGTGGAAGTTGGAGCTGAGCCTGATTGGGAAGAGCGGCTGTGGGCCTGACAAGGAAGGGGTCTCCACATTCACTCTTTCCTGCTTCCTTTCACCCTTCGTCCTTTTTGGGACTCACTGCGCTGCCGCTGTGGGAGTCCCCAGTAAGTAGGAAATGGCCGAGGAGCCCAGGATCAAAGCAAAGGGAGCGGGCAGCAGCGGTGGGTGTACATGCTCCTTGGGCTCCCTCGGAGGCAGGTCTTTCTTTCTCGGGCATTGCGGGATGTGTACTAAGTGAGCTCCTCTGCGCGCCCCCCCCCCCCCCCCGGCCCTGGGTCTCCCAAGTGCGCTGCACCTGACCTCTGTCTCTCAGAGGGACTGCTCAGTTCTCTGCTGCTCTGGAGCCTTGCCAGCCCTGGGCAGCGGGCACGAGGGCACCGGGGACATGTGCTGCACTGCCCAGTGACAGTGTGTGACTTCCCCTTGGGGACCCCTTCCTGGCAGGGGAGCTGCTGAACTCAGAAGTCTCTAGAACAAGCATCTGTGTTTGAATAATTGAGACAGCTCTGGGGCAATGGGCAGCGCAGTGCTGGTGCTGCCTTGTTCTTGGTCCTTCTGACCTGGGTCTCCCGTGGGCCCCAGCGGCAGGGACGGGGTTGCTACTGCGGCTGCCTTTTTCCTGTGATTTTTGTATGCATGAATGAAGAGGTAAGTTCACGGTGCTCTTTGGGGCCTCCAAGCCAGAGTGAGGGAGGAGCGCACCTGTCTCGTAGGACACAGTTGCTACCCTGTGGGGGCAAGTGTCCCATGCTCCTCTTGGGGAGCTGAGGGCTGTGGATACTGTTCCGGAAAACACCTAGGAAACTGGGCACACCCACTCAGGTACTTCAGGCCTCCTGTTGTCCACGGGTGCCTCAGCTAAGCACTGGCTCTACAGAGATGTCAGCCAGAGCCTTCGGATGACATAGCAGCATCTCCAGCCTAGTTGGGGGTCAGGTGGCCCGGGAGAGGCCTGGTAGTGATGGAGAAGAGCTGGCCTGGACGCAGACCCTGGCTGGATCGGGACCTGCCTGTCAGGACACATTCCCCGGTTTTTGAGAAGCCACGTGCCTGGGTCACAGAGCTCTGCCAGCTACTCTCCTGCTCCCTGGTCAGCCCTTTCTACTTCTAAAGAGCTCTGTCTTTCCTTTCAGAAACAGCCCCCACATCTACGTATTCATCTCCTGCCCGGAGTCTTGGGGACACAGGAATAACACCTCTCTCCCCTTCCCACATTGTGGTAAGACTGTGTGTGTGTGTGTGTGTGTGTGTCTGTGTCTGCATCTGTGTGTATGCACTCACGCATGCACACTTGCACACCTGCTCGCTCAGGTCAGGCTGCTGGAAAGCCCCACGCATCCACTGGGAGGAGATTAGGAGATAAAAGCAGCCCTGTGTCAGCCACGGGAGCCCTGACAGCTCCCCTGGCCCTGCAGCTCTGGAAGACGCAGGATCCAGAGATTGCAAACCATCCTCTCATTTCTGATACAGTGGCTTCCTCCACTGCAGTGGCCAGCATGTCCAAGGGCCTGTGGCAGAGGAATCGCTTTCTGCCACAGTTGGCCTGTGAGAGAAGACCTGAGCAGGATTCGCCTGCAGGCAGGGGCTGGAGACTGGGCTGGCTCTCCCTCCCTTCCCTAGACCCTGCACTACAGGGAGATACGGCAGGCATGGGCAGCTGTTCTCAAGGGTGCATGGAACCTGCTGGAATAACGCACTGGAGAATGGAGTGGCTGTGCATGAGACGCTGCTGAGAACTTGGGAGCCACCACTCAGGAAGGAGGCTAGCTGTTTTTCGTGTCCTCAGAGCTGCTCACGGCCCTGCATCCTGGAAACTCTCTCCATCCTGGGCAAACTAGGAGGGCTGTTCACCTTGGCTAGGTTCTGTGGTCTTCAAACACTGCATCTAGGGGGAACTCTTAGATGGGGGTGTTAGAGGTTTGTAGTAATGTCCTCATTTCCTGCTCCAGCCAAGAAGGCCAAATACAAAATATGCTGTTTTTGCTGGGCGCCAGTGGTACACACTATAATCCCATCACAGTACAAAGCCAGCCTGGGCAGGAAAGTCCCTGAGACGCTTACCTCCCATTCAGCACCTAAAAAGCCCAAATGGAGCTGTGGCTCAAGTGGAAGCATGTGAGCCTCGAGCACAAAAGCTTAGGGACAGCACCCAGACCCTGAGTTCAAGTCCCAGGACGGGATTATAAAAAACAAAAAAGCTGATTTTATAATTTGGGGTTTTCTATGTTGCTTAAAAAGCAAACCACAAAACAGTGGAACCTTGAGTGGCCTGCCCCAGACCTGGGGCTCAGCGGGGTCAGGCAGGGTCTCCATGTGGCCACACTGCTCATGTGGGTGGAATGCTGCACAGATGGAGAGGGCACTGGGAGGTGTGATGCGCAGAGCTGGCAGAGTGCATGAGGCCGTGAGGCCAGCTGCATGAGGACCCAGGGAGGTCGCAGGGGGCGGGGGGTACATGGAGCTACCAGGCTTCTGCCCAGTGACCACATTTCTGTAATGAATCATTGCATGCACTGTTTATTAGAGAAGCAGGAAGGCAGTGCCTGCGGCCCTTGCCCTCCCAGTTTCTTTCTGCTGACCAGCAGCGGCCCAGGGATTCCCCCAGGGATGCCATGTGACAGACTTGAGTGGAAACCTGGGGGCCCCTCAGTCTGCAGCGAGTGTCCAGCTGGGCAGGGTGGAAGTGTCTTCCTGAAGGCCGCCAGCCCCCCACCCCAGTGCATCACTCTGTATCTGCAGAATGACACTGATGCTAATGACTCCGAACAGCAGACGTTTCTGGTGGTGGTGGCCATCGACTTTGGAACCACCTCCAGTGGCTATGCCTACAGCTTCACCAAGGAGCCAGAATGCATCCACGTGATGAGGTGAGTGCCTTGTGGGGTGGGGCGGGCTTGGCGGTGGGGCAGGCCCCAACCTACGTGGGCTTGGCGGTGTGGCCAGTCCCAACCTATGTGGACTCGGGGGCGGGGCCAGCCACTGGGCTGATGGAGAACAACTCCAAATTCTGGTCTAGCTCAATCCAGTGACCCACTGGGCCACTTTGAGGAGCCATTTTTTTCTCCCATCTGTCAAAACACTGGTTTAATTCTGATTTAGTTGGTGTGTATAGAATAGTTGAAATCTAGAAGGGTGATTTCCTGGTATGTCCTGGGTAGGAGGAGACATCTGTGATGCAGGTGGTCCAGGGGCTGGTTTGGCCATTTTCTGTGTGACTTTAGGCAATTGTTGAACCAGCTAAACCTCAGTTTCCTCATCTGTGAAATGAGGATAAGGGTAGAGCCTGCCTCATGTGGTATCCATGCAATTAAATAAGATTTATGTGCTCAACGCATAAGAAAATGTAGGCAGGGAAGTGGTTTAACACCAGTGGGTGTAGACACCACCAGCTGTGGTGCCAACAGCAGAAAGCTCCGGGCTTGTGAGGGTGAAGCTCAGCCCAGTGGCCCCACAGGTTAGGTTAAAGGTTACCCCCGGGCCTCTGGGGGCGCTCAGGGGTCCATGCTCCCTTCGGGTTTCTAATACACACAGCAGCCTGGTGGCTCTCAACTTCATTATCCCCAGGCTCCAGCACCTTGTGAGGACACTGATCTGTCCTGGCACCAACATTGACTGTCAGAATCTTAACCTGTGACTTTCCTATGGTATCTGTCCCCCACCCCCAAGCTTAGGAAGGCTGGGATGTATCACACCCATTTTCCACCTAGGAGACCTGCTTTAGCTGTATAGTAATTGGCATTCCGTTGACTTTTACTGAGTGATTGTGGAATTCAGTGATCAGATTTTAGGTAGTTTTCTAAAGTGTCTCATACAACACAAGTCATCATAAAAGTGACTCTCACCAAACCTTGATGGAGCCCCTACTTTCTCTGGAAAATCAGAGATGGTGCAGCCAGAGGTCATTGTCATCAGAGGCTCTGGAGAATGTCCGCTCACTAGGAAATAACAGAAATCCAGTTCTACCACCGCATGGCTCCCAGGCCTGGATGGTCCCTTGGGTTGGACCTCTGTGAGTCAGAGGTGCTGACAGTTCTGTACAGCCCCCTGAGATGGAAAACCCAGATGAAAACATGACAGGAATCTATTGGTCAGCTTCCAGCTAGTTCTAGGAAACACTAGTCCCTGGGATGGCCAGGCAATGAAAATAGAGAAGAAAGAGTGACAATAACTTTGAACTTGTTTGCAGGAATACTTACAAGGCAGCACTGTGTACGGCTCAGGCCTCTGGAGACCTCATCATCTCAGTGCTGGGGCTTTGGAGGAAGGTTGAATTTGGTTTTTAATCAGAGCATATTAACATAACCATCCTACAGACAAAGGTTTGAAGGGGAAGCTTAATCTCTTGCATTTAAATCGGAATGAAGGAATAGGAATTTGAAGGGGAAAAAGCGCACGAGGTCATTATCTACCGAGAATGTCTCTGTAGACAGCTGTGACAAGTTCCTTTGTGAAACACAGTGTGCAGAGCTGCTGCCTAGCTTAAGAATTATCCCTGCGTCACCATATGGTCTCCTCAGGGACCCTGTGGCCTCCAGGCTAAAGGTTTGCATCTTGGTGGAGCTTGACAGGGAAATTGTCAGCCATGATTGATTCCAGAGCCATCTGAGCGCCGAGCCTTGTTGGCGGATGGTGCTTAGCTGGCATTCCTGTCTCACTTAAAGATATGATGCCTATGGATCATGTCTGAACCCAGCCTGGAGTGTCCTTTGAGATCCACTTGTTCTGCACTTCTTCTGGGCTCCCTGAGTCCTGCATTCTCTCTTCAACCCCACCTGCTAGCACCTCTGCCTTCTCTGATCTCAGATTCTTTCCCTTGTTTCCGGCAAGTTAGGCAGAATCTATGCCTCTGTTCAGTTCCTACCTTGTTCCAAACAGACTCAAGCCAGCTCTATACGTCTCTATTTGCGTTCAGTGCTGACAGATTAAAAACAGACACAACTACATTACACAGCAGACAGAGTTATGTGAAGGCAGAGACATCAATCTTTCATCCTTATGTCACCAGCATATGGATAAACATGGACTTTGTTACTGAGCAAGAACCTGGCACTGGCCCCTTCCAATTTCCCTCTATCCCTCTATTTCTCACTCCCTTCCCCCTCCTTTTTCCCCTCCCTTCTTTCCTTCTCCTATCCTTCCTCTCTTTTCTCTCTCCCCCTCCCTCTCCCATCTCTTGTGAGGCTAGAGATTAGACCCAGGTCCTCTTGCAGGGTAGGCAAGTTCTTTACCACTTGAGTCATGCCTGCAGCCCTTTTGCTTTTGTTTTTGAATAGTATCTCACTAGCTTTGTCTCAAACTCTGGACCCTCTTCCTTTTACCTCCCAAGTAACTAAGGTTACAAGCATGTACCACCATACCTGGCTCCCTTTTCGTTTTAACTGAGGTCCTGTCTCTAGCTGCTGCTAGCCAGCTGAACTCTCGGGTGTTTCAGAGCCCCCACATCTCTGATGGCTATGATGCATACAGACATTTATGCAACTCTGTGCCTGAACTGGAATTCTGAAAGGAAGCTGGTAACCTCTGTCCTCCTGTGGCGGCAGGCGATGGGAGGGAGGTGACCCTGGCGTATCCAACCAGAAGACCCCGACCACCATCTTGCTGACGCCCGAGAGGAAGTTCCACAGCTTCGGGTATGCCGCCAGAGACTTCTACCACGACCTGGACCCCAACGAGGCCAAGCAGTGGCTGTACCTGGAGAAGTTCAAGATGAAGCTGCACACCACGGGGGTGAGCAGGCCTCACCAGGCCATTCTCCACATTGCGGGGCGGGGCGGGGGCGCGGGTGTGAGAATCCTCCAGCTTAGAGCTGGCCTGATGGCCTTCTGTGCTGAATATCAGGATTGTGCTGGCAGGAGTACAGGGACTTTTTGACTTACAGCTGTGGCTTCTTGGAACTTAACCACCTTCCTGGGCCTGGGAGCCCAGAACTTAGGGGAGTTTGGGGGTGGGGAGGGCAGGAGAGGGAGGTGGTGGCTGGGAGGAGGGAGCATGTGCGGATAGGACATGCCGGTTAGTCACTCACCAGCCTTCCTTCTCTGAGGGCAAAGCATCGTTCTCTAGCTTGTCTCCATCTGGGGGTCCTACCCATTCCCTCTTTTTTCTTTCCGGCCCTAATGAGCATCCTCCACCATTGTTCTACTCTGTGTCTGTCCTTCTTCCCACAGGGACCTTTCTCACCGTTTTTAGTGACCTCTGCTGCACAGCATCTGGTAGCATCTGTACAAAGTTCCCAGCCCCTTCTCCCCTCCCCACTCCAGAACCATGTGCAGCTGCTTTGGCCTCTGGCCTTGGAAGGGAGGCAGCCATCCTGGGCTCCCAGTGGATTGGCCTCAAAATAGGAGGTCTTCTATTTTGGTGGTTTGGTTGGCAGCTCAGCAGGAATGAAGCCGCCTTCCTTCTGCTTAGTGTCACATGCACACAGTTGGTGTGATCTAGGTGTCCACTGGTGGAAGGGCTCCATGGGTTGACCATGAATATTCACGTGTGGCTGTAGTATGTAAATCTCAATGGCGTGGTACCTGCCGCCTGTCCACTCTTCCTGTGCTCTTCTGTTGCTCTGAAACCTCTGCTTCCAGAAGAGCCAGGACAGAGGAAGAGAGGGAGCGAGGGAATGGGGGAGCTGTGAAGGTGGGGCCTGGAGGGACGGCTGGGCCTCTTCTATGGTAGGATACCTGTCAAACTTGGGGGAACACAAGGATGTTTGAGGCCCCCCCAGAGCCAAAGGCAGGTTTCTGTCATCTCACCGTTACTCTTTCCCACCAGGACCTCACCATGGATACAGACCTGACAGCCGCCAATGGCAAGAAAGTCAAAGCCCTGGAAATCTTTGCCTATGCCCTGCAGTACTTTAAGGAGCAGGCACTGAAGGTAGGGCCACAGGTTGGAGCCAGTCAGCTGGTCAGCTGGTGTGATGACGGGCCAGGGGCGCTGGGCCCCATGGCTACAGGAGGGGCAGCCTGCAGGGAACAAGCCAGGGCTGGGGTCAGACGTGTCCCCGGATGCTGCTGGCAGTAAGGTAAGATGGTGCCACTACTTTGGAAAGTTTGACAGATCCTCTAAAAGACAAATAGAGAGACCATAGGACCCAACAATTTTCCTAGGGGAGGTACAGAGAGAAATGAAAACACGCTCCCATAAACATTCGTGTGCAAAAACGTTTATGGCATTATTTGTAATAACTGAAAAGGAGAAACAACTCAGATGCCTATCAGCAGACAGAAAGGTAACTAGAAATGTGGCATGTCCTCACAGAGCCGAATTATTCAGCCATGGAAAAAGAAATGGAATACAGATTCATACTACAATATGGATGCGAAACTCAGGCGAAACAAAAGACACCGGGTACCAAAAGCCACCTATTGTACATTTCTGTTTGTAGGAAATGTCTAGAACAGACAAAGCCACAGAAAGCAGATTAGTGGTTGTCAGGGGTGGGGTGGGCGATAGGAGGAGTAAGGACTGGCCTCAAAAAGCTGTGGGTGATGAAATAAATCAGATCGTGGAGTTGGTTGCATGGCCTTGGAGCAGACAAAAGCCTACTGCTATATACACATAAAGGGTGAATTCTGTCATTTGTGAATTATAGCATAGGTTAAAAAGGCAGACAGGAAGCTCACTTAGCAGCTGTCTTGGGCAAATTACTCACCATTTCTGAGATTGACTTTTCTAACCTGAATAATGGTATTTAAAAAAAAACTTTGTGGTTCACTGGATGTTAAATGAAATATGGGCCATGAAGTGTCCTCACCGGGCCTGGTATACAGTAGATGCTTGACAAATCGTGGCTGTTAGGGCTGTGTTCCTCCTTTCTCCTCCCTCCCCCTCCCCCGCTTCCGCTGTCTTCCTTTCCCTCCCTCCCAGTGCCCTACAGCCTTTGGGAGAAGCTGACAGTTTGAGCCCCCATGGATCACCACTTTGGTTTAAATGTGTCCCTCCAAAGTTCATGTATTGGAGACTTAGTCCCTAATATATATGTTAATGGCATTTGGAGGTGAGGCTTTAGGAAGGTGGCTAGATGAGAAGAGATCATGGGCCTGGAGGCCCCATCGTGGCATTCGTGGTTTTGTAAGAAAAGCGGAGGGACACTCCAGCTGGCACACTTACTGTCTTAACCTGCGATGTCTGCTGCTGTGTTAGGATACATCAAGAAGACCCTCAGCTGAGCAGGTGCCAGTGCTTGCGTTAGACTTCCCAGCCAAATCAACTTCTGTTGTTTATAAAGTTCCCAGCTGGTGGTGTTAGTCATAAACAGAAAATAGATGTAAGACAGTCACATTCACAGAGAATTGTGACCACGCTGATCCACAATGCCAGAAACCTAGGAATTTCAAGTGGAATATGGCTGCTTACTCAGGGTCTCCTCCTACAGATTTGGGGTGAGGGGTATGAATCCGATCATTTAAGAACCCTGATGTTTTGAGCTTCGTCCAGACCGAATGGGGAACTTCAGAAGCAGCAGGTCGACAGGAACGCTATTTGTGAATTTGTCTCCTCAGCCATAGGGGCTCCAGGGAATGGGCTGCCCTCTTCCCTTGCCAAAGCCCGAGGTGATGAGGTGGGGGCGGAGTCACGTGGGAGCCGTGCGGCCCTCCCCGTGCCCTGGCCAGGCTTGCGGGGAGGACACGCTCACATGACCCGAATAAGCTCTAACGGAATATCCACCAACGACATTGAGTGACAGAAGTCACACGCACGAGGCTGTCAGCCATTCTTGGAGGAGCCTGAGGCACACACTTCTAAACGTGGGTGCCTTTCCCTCCCAGGAACCTTTTCCTCTTCCCCCTCCTCAGTGGGCTGGAAAGCCCACCACTAAGCCCTTTTTCTAGTTCAAGACTTGAAATTAGCCTGTATGATAGCCAGAAGCCTGCTTGGGTCTTTCCTGACATGTCAGTTGTATCACCTGCTTGTGTGTGTGTATGTGTGTGTGTGTATGTGTGACTGGCCTTGAACTCAGTTCTATCACCTGCTTGTGTGTGTGTGTGTGTGCCTGGGCCTTGAACTCAGAGCCTCAGAACTCTCACTTAGCTTTTCTGTTCAAGATGGGTATTCTACTACTTGAGCCACACCTCTACTTCTTGATTTTTTTCTGGTTAATTAGAGAGAGATATGAATCTCATTTCCTGGCCTCGGCTGGCTTTGAACTGTGATCCTCAGATCTCAGCCTCCTGAATAGCTAGGATTACAGGCGTGAGCCACCAGTGCCTGTCTTCCATCATGTGCATTTTAAAAACCCAGGGAGACCTTCAAGAAAACAAAAACAAAAATGATTTAAAGAAAAAATATCTGCCTATATTGCCCACAGGCAGATTTTTTAGAAAATATTTTACAGATGTGCTTGGTACTACTAAACTGTATACTTAGAAATAGTAAAGATGGTACATTTTTTTTGTTGTTTGTTTGGTTTTTTTTTTGGGTCCGGTCATGGGGCCTGAACTCTGGGCCTGGGCGCTGTCCCTCAGCTCTTCAGCTCAAGGCTAGCGCTCTACCACTTGAGCCACAGCGCCACTTCTGGCTTTTTTCTTTTTGCTTATGTGGTACTGAGGAATTGAACCCAGGTCCTCAGGCATGCAAGGCAAGCGCTCTATCACTGAGCCACCTTCCCAGCCCAAGTCTTTTTTTAAAAAAAAATAATTTTTTTTGGGGGGGTCTGGTCATGGGGCCTGAACTCGGCTTGGGCGCTGTCCCTCAGCTCTTCAGCTCAAGGCTAGCGCTCTATCACTTGATCCACAGAGCCACTTCCAGCTTTTTTTCTTTTTGCTTATGTGGTACTGAGGAATCAAACCCAGGTCCTCAGGCATACAAGGCAAGCGCTCTACCACTGAGCCGCCTTCCCAGCCCCAAGATAGTACATTTTGATTCCTGTATTTCTACCACAATTACAACTTTTAGATTTTTTTAAAAAAAAGACAAAAGAAAAATAAAGTTTACTGACAAAAGAGGACATTAATTCAGTGGAAGGGTGGGTCAGACCCACAATAACTCTGTCCCATGATTTTCCCAGTCTCATCTCTCAAGTAGTTAGGATTACAGGCCTGAGCCACCACGCCCAGCCTAACTAGACGCTTGGATGGGCTAACAGACATGAAGGCCCATACAGCACTCACAGAACTTGGCCCTCACAGCTCTCAGTAAACGAAGCTATCAGTCCTCTTCACAGTCCTCTCCAATCCACAGATGGATTGTCCCCATTTTGTAGAGAGGGACACAGGATCAGGAGATTGTCACTTGTCCCTAACTAGGAAGTGGCCACAGCGATGTCTCTCTACCTGCCTCTCTCCTCTGGGGCCACGTTTGGGGGAGCGGGAGGATCTCAGACTCCCTGCCTGCTGACTCTTCAGAAAGCACGTGTCCTTCTCACCAGCAACGCCCCTCCACCTGCCGCCTCTTGTTTCCCCTTGCGTTAGGAGCTGAGTGACCAGGCGGGCTCGGAGTTTGAGAACTCAGATGTCAGATGGGTCATCACGGTTCCTGCCATCTGGAAACAGCCGGCCAAGCAGTTCATGAGACAAGCTGCCTACCAGGTGAGGGCAGAGCGCACAGGCCGCTGGTGGAGGCCAGGAGGAGGCCTCTGTGGGAAGGAATAGGCCGTGGCTCCTGGGGCGAGCTGCCGCCTGCAGGCTTGGGCTCAGTTTTCTTTGTGTATTTCCAGGTTATGTATCCTCAGCTGAGTCTCCGAGGTGCATGGGCATTTCCTGTGGGTAAATATAACTTAAGAGTCTTAAGGAAAAGGCGTGGGGTCTATTTGAGAAAGGATATTTGAGGAAGAAAAGAATAAAGATGGAATTCTGGGCCACGAACCAGGCATTTCAGTCAGCTTGGTGTGGAGGCGGAAAATAACGGCAGCGGGAAAAGAAGAGCCTAGGACGGTCCTCTACATGCTTTCCTGTAGGAGCCACATGGGACTGTGAGGGAACTTGGAGAGGGGTGAGTGTTGCCACTGGCAGCCTGGCTGCATGGTGTGCCGGTCAACAGGGCGTTTGTCATCCTCTGAGACAGGGCCCTCCATCCCTGAGAGCATCAGTGCCACAAACCTTTAAGACTTTCAGCTCACAGTCTGCAGGGAGCTGGTACCAGGGCAGGCTTCTAGGATGGTCTGAACTTAAAACAGCTGGCCATGTGGCCCTGCTATTCTCCAGAGGCAGACCTGGCTCTGGAGGGCTTCAGCCCCTCCCCTGGGGCCCGCTTCAAATCTCTGTGCCTTGGAGTCAGTGTCTGAGTCTTTAGCCTCAGGCCTGAATGGGGCCCGTCGCCAACAAAACAGATGTCTCCTTGCCCCCTTGATCACACGTCTCAGGAACCACATGCCCACCTTTGCAGAACCAACACCGAGTCACAGAGTATGTCTGGGTGGTCACGGGAGCCCCAGGGTTATGCATTGCCTTCGGTGCTCAGGGCTTTCTCCCCAAAGAGCATGCAGAGTTCAGTTCACACATGGTCCAGGGCAGGGAGCATCCCTCCCCTCTCTTTCTCCCCTTCCTGAGCTTTCTCCTCTGCTCTCCCCTCCATCCATCCATGCAGCGTGAGAATCTGGCTCTGGGTATGGAGCTGCCAAAAATAGATTTGTTTTTCTAGGATTGAAGGAAGAGGGAGGGAGCTCCAGAAACAGGCAATTTCTTTAAGAAGACAGGAAGATGGAATGTAGTCTGGTTGGCCAAAGAAGCCCTGACCATGACAGAGCGGTTGCTGCAGTGTCAGCCTTCAGAGACAGCCCCATGGTGAGATGTCGGGCCACAGCCATCTGCAAAGACACCGCCCGCGCTCTGGGCTTTCCTGGGGAAGGAGATGTAAGGCTCATGGCTTCCACTCACAGTTCTCAACCCATGGGAAGACTTCAGCCACAGATGTGTGACCTGTCAAAAAGGCCCACAGCTTTATGTTTAGCCTGAAGAAGAAATTGGTGCCGAGACCAGTCAGCAGGTCAGCAGGAGGCACCCTGGGCCCATCTCTTTCTGAGATTGTGTCTCTGAGCCAGTGGGGCAGGAAGAGCACCCCACATTGGGGCACCTGTGAGGGAAGCCAGGCAGGGGAGGGGACAGTGGCCTTGGCCTTGGTGGCCTACAGGTGGCCTTTCGGACAGAAAAGGATGGCAGCTCCCAGCAGGCCTACACGTGAGCAGTGTTAAGGAATGTAGGGAATTTGCTGTCTGAAGTTCAAGAACATACCATACATAGAGTAGGTAACTTTTTCCTCTGTTTTTTTTTTTTAGCTCATGGTCAAGTAACTCATAATTTTTGAATTGCAAGAGATGCACTGCGGGCATCACTGCTTGGCAGATCTTTCTGTAGTCTCGTTAGCTTACCCTGTGGAAGAGTCCCAGGAAGAAAGGAAATGAAGTTTGCTACATCTCTCCACCGCCATTGTTAATACAGAATTAGGAAATTACAGCAGTTCCTCTGACGGATAATTTTGTGGGTCATCTTGACTGGGCCAAAAGGTGCTCAGTTGTCTAGTTAAAAAATGGTGGTTGGTATTCCTGCATGGGCGTTTTGGATAAGCGCAACCTTTAAATGATTAGACTGACTAGAGCAGATGCCCTCCTTCCTGTGGTTGGGCTGCCTCTGATCAACTGAATGCTCGAGTAGGGTCAAGGGCTTTCCCCTGAGTGAGAAGGGCTTCCCCTGCCTGTGCCTCAGAGCTCAGACACTGGTCCCCCCCGCCACCTTCTGACTCAGACTGAGACATTGGCCATTGGCTCTTCCTGGGTCTTGAACTTGAACCTCTGACCTTGGACAAGATCTCTTGGGTCTCCAGCTTGCCAGCTGCAGATGTTGGAACTTATCAGCCATCATAATTGTGAGCCAAATCCTTGTAACAGTTCTATTTGTTAGTATCTGTGTTCCTTACTAGTTCCATTTCTCTGGAGAATCCTGGCTGACACAGGACCCAAGGGAAAAAAAAGTATTAACCTCAGCCTGGCTTCTGAGGATGCTAGGTGTCCATCTCTGTGGACTGGGTTACTGGGTGGGCGTGTGCTTCCTTCTACAAGTTCGCCACTGCATGCCAATCCCTACACCCACCGTGCCTCCAGCTGGCCTGCAAAGAAGCCCGGAGAATGTGGCCGAATGTGGGTGTCATCAGAACAATGGAGAACTGGGCATGCCCACTCTGTGCATGGCACACACAGAGACCCTCCTAGGCTTGGAGGACTCTGTCACCAGGGCACAGTCATGTGATGCTGAGTGCCACCCTCCCACCGGAGGGCGTGAGGTCTGGAGCAGATGTGGGATCACGCTCTATGCAGCATCGTCAGCTCTGGAGCTGGGGGTCTCTGCTCAAATCACTTCCCACATCATCTACATCATCCGTCTCTTAGACTCGGTGCTTCCTGCAGCAATGGGTTGAATCTCCGTCTCTGATGAGGCAGGCAGGATGCCTACAGACCCTTTGCCAGTCTCCAGGGACAAGACAGGAGCAGAGGGGACAGTTGATCCGCTTCTGAAGCCTTTGGGAAGAAATGGAAGCAGAGGAGAGTTTGTGATGAATCTGAAATGGGAGGAAACTTGGGCGGGAAATAGTCTAGTTTTTTTTTTTTTTCCTGAAGGCATTTTGCCTAAAATGTGTAACTCTAGTAGGTTCCAGAAACCTGCTAAATAAATGATGCTACCATATGCATGATGATGTCATCTAACGGGAGGCAAGGCAGCTGGTATTTGCTTCTCTGGCAGAACAAGCTGCCATGAAAAAAAAATAATCCTGTCAGGAGAGACAAGTGCAGCACGCCCCGCCCTGGTGCAGCCGGGGCCCTTTTGAACTTGATGACAGACTAGCAGAGCACTTACCTGATGTGGCCGTTTTTCTCAGTCGTGGACGCAATCCCATTGGCAGGTTTTCCTGGCAGATCGGAAAGCCAAGGAAGAGCTGGGGAGCCTGTTTCTTCTGAGTGAGTCACGAGAACAGCTCTAAAAGCAGCCCCAAGGCTGCTCCTGCTGCCCCAGATTCCTGGGGAGTCAAGTGGAATAGCAGGCTCTTGCTTCCGACATTTTCTATTTGGAGAATCCTCAGATTCCTCTGTGGCATGCTTCTGTTCAGCTCAGCAGAGACAGAGGGCAGAACAGTGCAGGATGAAGGGCAGAGCCAGGGTCATCTGATAGAGGTGAAGGGCCTGACAGGGGCCCCAGCGGAGGGAGAGCACACATCAGTAACTAAGGTTCCAGCTCCAAAGGCAGAGCCCACCGACAGAATGTTCTATTTCCGCTCAAGTGCCTGAGCAGAATGAAGCTTACAGTCCAGGCAAGGAGACCCCATCGGAGATGAAGGTGTCCAGGATGTTGGGGGTCTGGTTGGTTCCTTCCCCCTTTTCTCCTGTCCTTGAAGGCCGCGAGTGGCTCCGGATCCTCCTGGGGAGATGGTTTGCGCAGAGCGAGCGGCCCTTCTCCCCTGCCCGCCTCGCCCCTGCCCCCAGTGCTCCTCTGTTTGCCCTCTTAGTCTTACTGGGGAACACGAAAGAAACTGGGTCCAACAAAAGGGTTTCCCAAACACTTGCCAACACCTCCCTCATCTTGCTGCTGCTTTGCCTCTGCAGTGGGGTTCTCTTCACCCCCAGTCCCCTCCTGGAGCTTCTCCCAGGTGCATTGGGGAGCCCCTACCTCTGTGGAGCCGAAGTTAGCCCAGTGGGGAGGGACCGATGAAAGACGCCCTCCTGTGGGGTACTGCGTGTGCTGTTTGGGGCACACTCAGGTGGCCTGGGCGTTGCTTCTCAGTGGCAGGAGGCAGGAGCTTTGGAGCAGGGAAGACCATCTGCCGTGTCCTATTACCCAAGCGTTTTCATGCCTGTGCTCCTTGATTTGATTTCCCATGTAAGTCAGAGCACCTGCTCAGAATCTCAGGTCCAGGGTGGGTAGAGGAACGAGGAGCTTGTGGGCAGCTCTTTCTCCCTCCTGTCTGCTCGGCCACAGGCCTGGCCTTGGCTCTCGTTGGCATCCGGGGACGGCTGTGGCAAATCCTACCAGGTAGGCTAACACGCCCACGGGACCAAAGGTCTGTAATGTGTCTCGGAGCTGCTTTCTTCCTTCATGCAGAATCCCTGGGCTCCACCCAGGGCCCCATCTCTCCCAGCTCAGTGTCTAGTCTCAGTTTTGGAAGAGAGCACTGCAGAGCTATGCCTTTGTGCCCTTCTCTGGGGAAGCTGCCATTGGGCTCTATTCCCCCAGGAGGTCCTGGGGTGTTACGAGGCTCGGATGGAATGCTTAGTTGCATGAGCCATCTTCAAGGAGGGGGACCCATTCTGTTTTCTGCTGTGGATTTCTTCCTTGTGCACCCTCCAAGAGCTGCGATCCAGAGCTCTTTCCACTCCTGTTGGCATTCCAGGTGTGTGACCCCATCTGCTTTTCCCTGGACATCTTAACTTGCAGCTGTCTTGCACACAGTGTGTCTGGTAGGACCCATGGAAGAAAGGGAAGCTGGGGCCGAGGGGCTTTTCATTGCTTGAACAGGGAGCAGAGGGAAACCGCTCTTGCCTGAGTCATGGACGATATTGTCTAAGGGCAGACACAGCTTCTCGGATCCTTGGAGCAGGCCGATGGTGGGTGTGGATGCTACCGTGTTGGTGGAGCAATATCACCTTTAAGTCAATGGAGAAGGGAGTGTGAGCGACACATGGGAGTTTTGTCACAGTGCCAGGCCCAGGCACCTCGAATATAGCTCAAGTTAATCAGAGTAGAATTACTGAGGGAGTTGCAGAGCCCGCTCTGAGGGGATCAAGACGCCACCAAGTGCTGGCACCGCCACTCAAGACTGATGCTCAGCGCTGAGTCTCCTGTGTCAGAATCCCTCTGTCCTGGGCAAGCTGGGACCTTGCACCTTTGGGTACAAAGCTCCAGCGGTCTGTGCATTCCCAATATTCTAACCCAGGGATGCCCTGCCTCCCTTGCTCACCAGTGAAACCACCTGAGTGCCTCTGCCCATAGCCACAGGCTTGTAAGAAGGCTTTTGTTTACTGGTAAGGGTTTTGTTTTGTTTTGTCTACTAAACCTCAAACATCTGGTGTAGAGCATGGGGAGGGGTGTGGGTATGACAGTTCCCTGGGCATTGACAACAGAGAAGACGCACAGTGGAGACAGGAACAATATGTGTTATTTTCTATCCTGATCAAGCTCTGAAGTGAGAGTCCTGCTCTGGCTCAGAGCTGGGGGGAGGTGAGCAGGGACCTGGACATGGGTCAGGGCTCCTCTCTCTGAGCATGCTCACAAGGGTGGCTCTGGGGCCTCCTGGATTAGCTTTCCTTTGAGCCTGGAGTAGCCATGACTGGAACAGGTCACATGCCACAGAGAAGCATTTCTGCCTTCTGTCAGCCAAGTTCCCAAATGTTTGCAGATAAAAGACTGTAGATGGGAACTTGGGGGCTGAATTCTTCTGTCATTAACATGATTTATTTTGCTGGGCACGGTGATGCATACCTGTCATCCTAGCTACAATGGGAAGCCAAAAAATAGGTGGATCATGAACCAGGTAGATGCTTGGGCAGGAAGTAAGACTCTCTCTCAACAATACCCAGTGCACATCAGTGCTGGAAGCGTGGCTTGGACACTGAGTGCCTGCCTAGCAAGGGTGAAGCCCTGAGCTCAAAACTCCAGTGCTGTAAGAAATGTTAAAATGCTTCTGTATTATCTGATCTAAGCATGTATTATATGTATAATTCACACTATTGCTGTCCCCAGCAGGCAGGTGGCAGAGCCCCTCCCGGCATGCTGAGGACTTCTGGTCGGATGTCCAGACAGCAAAGTCACATGCCGGCCAAACTGGGGTCTACCAGCCCTAGGGCCTGCTCTACCTCAGTCAGACTATGAGGCCTATTATAACCGGAAACAGATCACCTTCCTTCCATCCCGTGGTGTGTTTCCAAGTGCGGGACCTCCACGCCGCCATCCCTCTACCACTTGAATGTGGAACCCATCACCCGTGTATCCTGTCATCTCCGCCCTGGTCCGTCTTCATTCTGGGCCAAGCAAGCCTCAAGTGCAAAAGGTTTCATGGCTAGAGAGCCTTGCATTTCTTGGGGATGCAGACCTATTTTTATGGACACACTGAGGTGTTTGGGGGTGCAGCACCCAGTCACCCCTTTTTATGAGCTCTGAAGAGGCCTGTGGAGGCCATGTCCCAAGCAAGCAGAGTGAGTGTCCTTTCTTGGGAGTGTCGGCATGAGGCCTGGCGTCCTGCGGTTGGGCCTGCCCTGGCTCCTAGCTCTGCTTCTCTCTTGCAGGCGGGCCTGGCCTCCCCGGAGAACTCGGAGCAGCTCATCATTTCCTTGGAGCCCGAGGCGGCTTCCATCTACTGCCGGAAGCTGCGGCTGCACCAGATGATCGAGCTCAGCAGCAAGGCGGTGGTCAATGGGTACCGCGGCAGTGACACAGTAGGAGCGGGGTTTACACAGGGTACCTCTGCTCTCTCTCTCCCTCCCTCTCTGCCCCTCCTGAGCCCTGAATGTTCTTCTACTTGGGATGATGCAAAAGATACTTAGTGCTGGGTGGAAGAATCAGGGTACCTAGAGGGTGGGGACCTCCCTACTCAGGACCCCGATCCACCAAGTATCTGGAGGGGGACTTGTTTGTCCTCAAGAATCTGAGGGGGGAACCTGAGAGCAGTTCTTGGCCTTGCCTTTTACTAGGCTCTTAATCTTTCTTGCTGATTAACTGATTCTTACTCTCATGTAATTTGCCTGTTATTAATTCCTCCATTAAGACTGTTGATTTGCCGCTGACTCATTGGGCTGCCTCGTGTGTGATGAGCTCATTAAGGTCCTAATGTAGCTGCGATGTGTACTTGGTTGTAGGAAGTAGCGCCCCCTTGTGGAAGTCTAGTGTGGGCATTTGAAGGAGCTTTTTCTCCTCCATGGTTACCTACATGCAAGATGGCCACAGTCTTGGTCCCCAGCATGGCTTTCCTCAGTGTCCATATTCCTCGGGTCTATCTAGGCTTCCAGAGGTTTTAGATGGGCTAGATCAGGGTCAGTGCACCACCAGGAGTGTAGGTGCTAGTGGGGTGTGCTGGGTCCACCCCAGCTCTGCTGTGCTGTCAGATGGGGGCCTTCAGAGCAGACATGTGTCTGTCACCTACACCCACTCCAGGCTGCCCTGGAAGGTGCCAGGCCCGTGGAGACGGGAATGAAGACATCAGTAAGGATTGTCCCCAACAAGCCAAGCCCGTTTTCCTCATAGCCTACACCATAAGCTTGAATTTCTACTCTTCAAAGCCCACCCAAACCTGCCCAGAAGAAATGCACATTCCTTCCCGCCATGTACTGGGGTCTTCTGCAGACCACCCATTGCATTGCTCCACAGAGTGACTCCCCAGAGGCTACCTCTTTACGTTTTAATCCCTGGAATTAGGAGTCTGTGAACCTCAGTCACCGGGCTGTACATAGAGCTTTGCGGGTCACCTGTCCCGGACTATGTTAGCGATCCAATTTACTTGAGAAGGAAGGAAGGTAGCTTTGCTTTAAAGCTGAGAGATGGATGGATCCCTTTCTAGCATCCCCACAGGATGCTAAGGTCAGCCCTACTGCCAATAAAATCAAATGCATTCGTGTTTCAAGTACTCAGGACAGTCCATGTATTTAAACCCGCTTATTGTCTCACTGGGAAGAAGGATGGCTCATACATGTAGATTCATGTCAGAGTCAGCTGCCTTGCTTTGGAAGTGTATGGCCCTTCTGTCTTAGGGGGAAATCTGGCTTTGAATGACAGACTTCCCTGAGAGCTCAGTTTGGGGTTTCTTTTCCTTTGACTTAGCGCTTCTCTCCTCATGCTATTGTGTGTGTGTGTGCGCGCGCGCGCGTGCATGCATATGGTTTGTGGGATCTGCTGTTGTGTGTGCTTAGAGGGTTTTATTTGGTTTGGGGAATCCATAAAACTTTGGTCATAATGCCTTTGCAGGCAGGTATGGAAAATTATGAGGTGAGGAGCCCGGGTGGTGTTTAGCCAGGTGCTTCTAGACCTGCTTGTAGGCTGCTAAGGATCAGAGCCTGGCGGGTGCCCGTGGGAGGGGGGGCAGCTGGCAAATGGGCTTTGCTGTGGGCATTACTTGACTCCTCAAGGATTTAATGAACTCAATAAAAGGATACATTTGTTTATAATCTTGGGTTTAATCTGCCTAAAGAATGAGATGATATGTTGGGAGCTCAGAACGTATTAGCCTCGCCTGGCTGTTTTTTATGAATGCCATTTTGTGGGCCATGGAGATAGTTTGGAAAATCAAATCCTCGCTAATGAGGTCTGTTCCTCGCATTCATTTAGAGCCAGCGAGGGGAGCAGGGAGGAAGTGTGAGGCGCCCGCTCGGGGTGCCTCCCTCTCCACTCTACCCCGGCACTGAAGAACTCAGCACTGCCCAGACTTCCTGAGGCCCAGGGAAGTCGTTTCGTAAACCGGGCTTCACTGTGCTTCTTGCAGAAAGAGGCAGGGGTGAAGAGTGCTTTATTGGATAACCATCCGTTTCCTGGACCATTTGAAAGCACTCGCTTGGAGACCGGAAGAACAAAACCCAAAGCACATGGTGGGGGAGGGGGAGGAGATGGATGGCACAGGTTGCCACGGGCTTCACCTGCTCGGAATCAGTCATAGAGCCTGACCATCAGGTCTTACAGTAGGTGCTTTGCCTTCATCATCACCTACTGTGTGCATCTGTTCTGCATTAGAGAACCAGAATACATTCGGAACTAGTCCCTCCTCTGCCCATGAGAAATTTAGACCAACTAGTAATACTCCCTATTTTAAGAATGAGGAAACCCGAGACGCAGTGGGGTTAAAGGATTGGCTTGAGGCTGTCTTTTCTATGCTCTGTTGCTTCCCAGGTATTTTCCAAAGCACCTTGCCCATCCCTAGCCATCCCTTTATCCTGGTTTTTCCTACAGATTGTTAAATCTCAAAGACATGAGGCTGTGTGGGCTGAGAGGATATTTTGGGCTGTAACACAAGAGTTGTAGGAACAGCAAGTCCTTTAACCTCTCTGACCTGGTTCCCTCATCTGAACATAAAGATGATCACTTGTGCGCTGGTCCAACCCACAGCAGAGGTGGTGGACGCCCGCAGAGGTTGACCCCAGGATTTCTAACTGAGCTTCACAGTTCAGAGCTTTGCCAGGTTCGGGTGCCATCTTTGGTTGAAGCACCACCTTGTGGCTGCAGAGCACATTGGCTTGAAGAGAGTCAGGAAATGGCTCCCCAATCTATGCATTTATCTAGGATCTAGGTCGGGGAAACATAACCTACATCCCTTATATTCCTTGACCAGAGATTGTTTTCACTGAGTGCCCTGATTGGCACGCTACTTGGAGCAGCAAAGCCAGGCAATTGGCCCTTTGTCATTAACCCATAGAATGGTGTCAGCAGAGGTCAGAATGTCCTCTGGGTGGGCTTTACTGCTGGGTACAGGCGAGCACCATGGAGCAGATGAATGGATGAAGGCTGTCAGAAGTTGCTGCTTTTCCTGGGCAGAGCTGGCTTTGCAATTACTAATGTTGCGTCTCGTCATCATTTCGGTCAAGTGTCAATAGACCTTCCATTCCTGCACCTGCTCACACTTGTCTCCACTGACTACTGATGACTGTCTGCCTTTTCATGCTTTCTTACCCATCATCATTTTCTTTCTGTCGGCCACTAGCGAAGGAACACATACGGCGTAATCGGCAGAGCCGGACTTTTTTGGTGGAGAATGTCATAGGAGAAATCTGGTCCGAGCTGGAGGAAGGTAGCGTCCTTGAACTTGAATGCTCTTTGCCCTTGTTGGATTATTTTTAATGTATGTGTGCTCCTCAGCACTTTCCCCTCGCCCCTAATTGCATTCCCAATCATTCCTTTTGTTTGTGCTTTGATAAAAATGTTCAACACTAGTGGCAGAGCCCTTTGGGGGAGCTACAGTTTTGCCTGCTGTAAAACCACATAAACGTTTCCAAAGACAGGTAGGGGCGGAGGCTTCCCCATCCTGGAGAAGTTTTGCTTTGGACAGCAGGTAACGGGGTATGCCAGGTGTGTGCTTTTGGTCATCACGACTCGCTCCTCTGGGTTCTTTATCATCTATACTTAGCTGGCCTTCCTGGGCTGATGTGATTGCGTTCTCTAAAGTCATGAATAACCTGCTGTGCTTCTAATTAGCAAAACCACTGTGCAAATGCGCGGGTTAATGCACTTAGCTAGGTACACCAGTTGTTTTCCACCAGCATCTCTGAGATTGGGTTGACAAGTGTTCTCTCTAAAGGATGGCTGTTTTTCCACTAGGTGACAAGTATGTCGTTGTGGACAGTGGGGGAGGCACTGTAGATCTGACAGTCCATCAGATCCGCTTACCAGAGGGCCACCTGAAGGAATTGTATAAAGCAACAGGTGAGCCAGTACACGGCTGCTTTTCCCATCCCTCACAAGGTCTCCTTCCCATACACTTGTTTTGTTTATGTCAGCCTTTTTCAGTGTTGTTCTTCTCCATGTCACCAGGATGTGGACCATAGCAGTGGGGACACTCACACCTGTTTGAAATTGGAAAGAAAAAAGTGTAGTTAAACTCATTGAGTTTTGGCATCAAGGGAAGGGGTGTGTGTGTGTGTGTGTGTGTGTGTGTGTGTGTATACGTGTACACACGCCAGTCCTGGGGCTTGAACTTGGGATCTGGGCTGCTGTCCCTGAGCTTTTGTGCTCAAGGCTAGTGCTTTACCACTTGAGCCACAGCTCCACTTCCAGCTTTATGGTGATTAATTGGAAATTAGAGTCTCATGAACTTTCCTGCCTAGGTCGGCTTTGAACCATAATCCTCACATCTCATCCTCCTGAGTAGCTAGGATGACAAGTGTGAGCCACCAGTGCCTGTAAGGGAGTTTGTTTTTGAAAGTTGTTCAAGGACATAGTTGGAACCTACTGCCATGTATGATTTAGAATAAACTCAGGCTTGTAGAGGTCTCAATCACTTGGATCTAGGTTGCCACAGCAGAGAACATACATGAATAAAAGGCAAAAGATCTCGAGATCCCACAAATCTTTCCCGTGCTGTGCATCACACAGACATGAGGTGAGACCCGCAGATTTCCCGGACTCTGCCCTTGGCTTTCCTTGGATGCTCCTCGTTAACTAAATGTGTGGCTCATATTTGAGATGTTATTGCCTTACAACAGTCTATTGATGAGAGATTTCTGCAGGAAAATGTTCTCCCCATGGAATGAGAGCAACTAAGGGTACTTAAATAACTATAAGCTGTGGGCTGCTGCCTGTTGGTGCCTTGGAGAAGAGCACTGGGAAGGCTGGATTATCACAATTCAGATTCAGTTTCTGGTGTGTGTGTGTGTGTGTGTGTGTGTGTGTGTGTATGTGTGTGTGTGTGTGTGTGTATGTGTGTGTGTATGTGTGTGTGGGGGTGTATGTGTGTGTGTATGTGTGTGTGTGTGTATGTGTATGTGTGTGTGTGTGGGTGTGTGGGTGTATGTGTGTGTGTATGTGTGTGTGTGTGTGTGTGTGTGTGTGTGTGTTTTCATTGTGGGCTCCTGTTTCTTTCTCCATTCAGGTGGACCCTATGGATCCTTGGGAGTAGATTATGAATTTGAAAAGCTTCTGTGTAAAATATTTGGCGAAGATTTCATCGAACAATTCAAGATCAAACGTCCTGCAGCCTGGGTGGACTTGATGATAGCGTTTGAATCTCGGAAAAGAGCAGCCGCCCCAGACCGAACGAACCCACTGAACATCACCCTACCCTTCTCCTTCATCGACTACTACAAGAAGTTCCGCGGCCACAGCGTGGAACACGCCTTGAGGAAGAGCAAGTAAGCTAGCCTTGCCTGTGTATGCTCTGAGTCCCAGGCGGGAGGGAAGCGGCTGTGGGCTCTGAGTGCGGATCCTACCCACTAGCTGTGGGATCTTGGAGAGTGACTCAACTTGGGCGAGCACTTCAGTTTTCTTTCTTTTTTTTTCCCCCATCTGGAAAAATGGGAGTAATAATCCCCTTAGCTTCAAAGAGTAGTTGTGGACATGCGATGAACTCACTTGTGTGACGTGCTTAGCACAGTCATTGGGAATGGTTCTGGCCACTGCTGCAGTCCCAGCCCCACAGTGCGTGTTCACTAAATGCTCAGTGACTTCCATGAGAATCTGACTTGTCTGCCAGCCCGTGTTCATCACTCCGTTTGTTGAAAAGATATTTCAAAGCCCAATTTAAAACCCAGTAGACAAAAATCATAGATTTTTAATGACTTTAAAGCTGTTTGTTGAGCCAGGCAGGGTGGCAGGCGCCTGTAATCCCAGCAGTGAGGAGGCAGGAGGAGGAAGATGTCTAGCTCAAGGCCAGCTTGGGTACAGAGAGACCCTGTCTCCAAACAAACTGACATGTGTTTGGTACCCCAAACTTGCTTAAATGTTTTCCCAGACATCACCGTGACATTGTTTAACCTTGAAATCTTCCCTTGTGAGGGAGATGAGACAGGTGCAGGATGAGAAAACCAGCTTTGGCCTTGGAGAAAGTGGAAAGCGACAGGCTCAGAAGCTGTAGTTACTCAGGGGTGGGGTCAGACTGGCACCCAGCCACACCACGAATCCATGGTTCTCTCTGCTCTGTACCACCGCTGGGTCTTTGCTAGAGCCACGAGGCCTTCCCTTAGGAGTAGACTTATCCCCATGATGTGACACTGTGCAGGGCTTAGAAGATGCACCTGAGCATACAGTTCATAGCTAAGGCAGCACTGCAGCAAATACATCCTACAGGCCTTTCCTATGCATACATCGACTGCTGCCGGTAGTCCTCCCAAAGCCAGAGAGGTCCCTCCGTCCCCTCCTTGTGTCTTTCGCTAGGCTTTGGCCTTCATTGCGCTTGGGGGAAGGTCAGTATAGTAAAAAGCTAAGGGACGTGCAAGAGGCTGTGTCTCAAGCAGAAGCGGTTGGCTCTCGAGCTTCCGAGGGTCCAGGTCCTGGCAGCGTGAGGGACTTGTTCTGAGGGTGCCGTTGCTCACACCCCTTGCTGTCTATGCCGATGAGCCAGGGCGCTGTGCACTCACTCATTGCTTGCTCCTCTCTGTGGCACATTTCCAGTGTGGACTTTGTGAAGTGGTCCTCCCAGGGGATGCTGAGGATGAGTCCAGATGCCATGAATGCCCTTTTTAAGCCAACCATCGACAGTATCATTGAACACCTCCGTAAGTATCGGCCAGTGCCTGGTCACCTGTGGAGGTGTGTGTGTGGGGGGAGGGACAGAGCCATAAGAAGGGGGCCCAGCATCCCCAGCCAATCAGCCACAGGCCGGCGCTGGGAGGGGCTAGGTAGGCTGTGGGCGTGTCTGAGGGAGGTTGCTGGGCCCAGGCTCCAGATGCTGCTTCTCCGATATTGAAAAGCAGCTGAGACCCTGTCCTCCCCGAGCTAACTGTTAGCCTCCAAAGCCGGAGAGCTGGGAACTGGAGTGACAGGACAGATTAGAACTCCTCACCCTGCTGAAGGAGCTGGCACTTAAGCCAGCGAGAGTCTGGAAATGCTGCTATCCCACGGTCTTGGCCTTCCTCAAGGACCTAGGGAGGCCCATTTGTCCAAACTCCTCATCCTCACCCCACACCTCACCTGCGGCTCAGAGCCCCTGGTAGCAGGAAGACATCTTTATCTCGATGTACCCACAGAACCGTGGGTGAAGAGCCCTGTAAGAATCTTCTTCCTTCCTGAGCACTGACTTCTGTGTGCACTGATCCGCCCCTCTGGTAAAATGCCCTTGCTGGCAGCAGCGGGCTCTGGTCCACAAACCTCTCCACAGGTTGAGCTCAGCGAGAGGCTCTGGTCCACAAACCTCTCCACAGGTTGAGCTCAGCGAGAACTCGGGGTCAGTGGACTTAGGCTTGCCAGCCATCCAGCTGGCCGAGTGATGTAGTCCATCACACACGCCGAGACAGCCCAGCTGCCTTCTCCTTGCTGGCTCTTGGTGACCCAACCTCCTCCCTCCCTCTTCCCTTCCTCAGAGGACCTGTTTCAGAAGCCCGAGGTGTCCACCGTCAAGTTCCTCTTCCTGGTGGGGGGCTTCGCCGAGGCCCCGCTGCTGCAGCAGGCGGTGCAGTCTGCCTTCGGCGACAAGTGCCGGATCATCATCCCTCAGGACGTGGGCCTCACCATCCTCAAGGGCGCCGTCCTCTTCGGCCTGGACCCCGCTGTCATCAAGGTGCGCCGGTCCCCGCTCACCTACGGGGTGGGCGTGCTGAACCGCTACGTGGAGGGCAAGCACCCGGCCGAGAAGCTGCTGGTGAAGGACGGCACCCGCTGGTGCACCGACGTCTTCGACAAGTTCATCTCTGCCGATCAGTCCGTGGCCCTGGGGGAGCTGGTCAAGCGGAGCTACACCCCAGCCAAGCCCTCGCAGCTGGTCATCGTCATCAACATCTACAGCTCGGAGCAGGACGACGTGAGCTTCATCACCGACCCCGGGGTGAAGAAGTGCGGCACGCTCCGCCTGGATCTCACGGGGACCAGCGGCACAGCGGTGCCTGCCCGGAGGGAAATCCAGACCCTCATGCAGTTCGGGGACACCGAGATCAAGGCCACAGCCGTTGATATAGCCACGTCCAAGAGTGTCAAAGTGGGCATTGACTTCTTAAATTACTAAGCATCCCCCCCCTGCCACCTGTCCCCTTGGACCTGACTCATCTGCATCCACTGACCTCAACCTCGGCTGCCCTTGACCCGACCTTGACCCTTCTCATCATTGCCCACCTGAATTTCAGCAAGAAAGATGAGACCAACCAGGGTGAGAAATAAGCATTTCTCAAGGACACTTTGGAGTCAGAAAAACTGACAGAAATTAAGATCTAGATCAGGGACTAGGAAATGCAAGGATCCTAGAAAAGCAGCTGGTTTTCGTAGGTACCAAAGTGGCAAAAAGAGAAAGTCACTTGAGGAGATGGAGTCAGTACACTTCCCAGCACTGATCTGCTTGGCTTTGAACAGATCCCTGTAGTGTAGAATTGAGATCTATTGAGCAGGAACAAAGCTTCAGCCAAGGACTTTTAACCTTTAGGATGGCAGACAACATAAAATATCACCCATCTGCAGTGAATCTCTTTTCACACTTGCAGTGGGGTTAAAGTGGCAATTCAGTGGGGATTTGGAGTGGTTTTTGTTTTTTGTTTGTTTTTTTAGCTGGTGGAAGAAGATTGCCTACACTGGGCATTATTTTAGTTTCTTTAAATTCCTAGGTTTGGTGGAGAATAACAGCAGCCTTGGCTAGAATCTGGGAGAGTAAGAGAGCGGACAGCTTTTCAGCAGGTAAAAATCTTGCTTTGGTGAAAATGGATGTCCCAAGAATTTCTGGCTTGCAGTACTCCTTTTTCACCTGTGGGGGCTCCCTTCCAAGATCACCAGTGGGTGCCTCAAACTAGGAAGCGTTTTCCTATATTCACATAGCTGTGGAAAAGTTCCTTTTAGAAATTAGGCACAGTAAGAGATGAACAACAATAACTAATGATCAAACAGACCAGTGATGAAAACACTGCAATAAAATTCAAAATATGGTCAGTCTTTTTCAAAAATACGATAGGGTACTTTTTTGGAGCCTGGTAATGGAAACCTCAGAAATGGAACTGTAGGGCCAGGCACTGGTGGCTCACACCTGTAATCCTCACTACTCAGGAGAGAGAGCTGAGGACTGTGGTTCAAAGCCAGCTCAGGCAGGAAAGTTCACAAGACTTTATCTCACGTTAACTAGTAAAAAGCTGAAAGTGGAGATGTGGCTCAACTAGTAGAGCACCAGCCTGTCGTGAAAAAGCCATGTGAGAGTATGAAGCCCTGAGTTCAAGCTCTAATGCTAACACAGAAAAAGAAAAGTGAAGAAAATGAAACTGTGGAAAAGAATGAATGAATGTCTTGTGATATAATTCCAAGGAATGCCCAATTCTGACCTCCCGGGGTCACAAGCAATTCTAGATCATCTTGGTAGGAATTCAGTTGGAGGCTATAGGTTGCCCTTTGCTTTGCTCACGTAGCAAGGACTCAATGTCCGGAACAGCCTCTTGCCTTGAAAAGTATAAACATTTTAAACTAACTCTTCCTTTCTGCTCTTCTTTGCCCCTCTTGAGAATTTTGAACATCGATTCCCACCTTTTGAAAGGAATCCAATGGTGAAGCATGCAAGGAGAACCTTTTCTATGACATGTTTCATGAAAATCTGCCTAGGTGAATCCTTTTCTAAAGGAAGTCTGTGGCTCACTTGAGTCAGAACTGCCTGGGTGCTTGGGAAGAGTAGGTTCCTGGCTCCACCGTGCGTGTTAACTGCAGCAGGCTTGAAGGGGAGGGCCAGAACCTGCATTTAGTGTGGAAGTTACAAGGGAATAGAGAATTACCACATTTCTGTTTTGTCCAAGCTGTAGCCCAGCCGGTCTGTACCTCTCCAGTCAGAGTTCCTTTAGGGAAAGGGTTTAGCTCACAGCTTGTATTCCTCGTGAGTGGGCTAGGGCCCCACCTGGCCTGAGGTGCGAGTGACCCTTTTAACCCTCACAGGAAGGATCTGGGGAGAGAAAATATATCACAAAAGGAACCCAGAAAACAGATGAGGAACCAACCTGAAGGGCTGGCTTCTCTACTTTCTTATGGTCAAAGCCACTTTTCTCCAACATTCCAGAGCCAACTGAGGATAAAGCTTCGTGGATCTGATTCCCAGTCCATCTGGTCTGTTCAAAGTTGTCTTTCCCACTTGCTGGAATTCATTCTGACTTCACATCACGGGAGGCATGCATAATGAATGAGTGAATGGAGAATGAGCAAATGAACTTCAAATGCAAGTTGAGTCCACCCAACCCATTCTCACAACCAATATGCAGATTTTAAATAGCATTGCAAATTTCATTTTAACATATCTTCTTTTTTTCACATTGCCTGCTGCAAAAATCCTTGCTAGAATATGAAACACTATCAAATCACAGAACTAGATGAGTCTCAAACTCAGTTGGGGGATTTCACCTCCAGGCACCAAGGTGTGTTTTCTAGGGGTCTCCCCACTGCTCGCTCTGCTTCCAAAGCTCAGTGTTATGGATCTTTGGTGTTGCCAGCCATAGTCTACAAACAAGCCTTTCAATTTCGTTATAAGGAATATAATTTTATGTACATACAATATTAGAATCTTGTACAGAATCTTCATTTCTACAATGTTTTACTTGTTAAAAAAAAAAGGAAATGCTTTTTAATTTTGTTGATGACATTGCTGCCTGTAAGCTTCCGGGTTCATCTCCTAACTGCTCTCACTAATCAACCATGTGTGCCGGTACCAAGGGATGGACTGTGTGTACAAGACTGAGCAACACACAGCGATGCCTATGAGTTAGAACACTGTGAACACATGGCCCGCCTGGATCAACAGCTTCATCAGCCCCTCCACCCGCACATCCCTCCCAAAGATTCACATGCTGCATTTAAAGGAACATATAATGTATTGATTTCTCCTGTCCAGCTTTGGAGAGCTGAATGTTTTGGTGCTGTAAGCAATGTGAACCCTGAAACATGACTTGAGGAACCAATCAGAAAATCCTTCTTAGACTCCTTGCATCCTGCCGGGCTGTTGACCTTTCCTGATGGGGGCAAAGCATTCACTTTGAGGACAAAGCATAGTCCACTTGTGTGTGATGTTTCAGTAAGCCAGGGTCAAAGCAAGGAACAAAGTACCTAAAGCAAGCTTTTCTACTGGGTTGAGTGTTAAGTGTGAGCAATGTAGTCAAGCCCCTCTTTCCCTGGCTAATGTAAACCGCTTCCCACCTTACACAAAGGATGCCTCCTCCTCCTATTTCCTTTAAGTAAGCTCATAGATATCTGAAGTTGGGGAAACCTGATAATGAAGTAGGGGGTGATAATTTTACTGGACTTTCTTCTGGTTCCAGAGATGAAGCCCTAGTAGTTAAACTCCTTAAACAACCCTCCTAAATTTGTCCCCATTTCTACTGAAATATTCTAGAAGAAGAGCCTTGGATAAATATGCTTAGACACACTTCCTGATCTTAGAACATTTCTATGAGGTCTGGGGTACAGACCCATTACTCAGTTGTCACTGGCATTTATTATCTGATAGCCACCTTACTCAAAAGGAGAATTGTTGCCTGTTGACAGCAGGCTTTCACAATGCCCAGTGACAGACAAGCTGCCTGGAAGGAGGGGCCAGAGGAGTGGTGGCCCAGTCCAGATGACAGTCTGTCCCAACCCTAGGATGTTATTTAGACCAAGTTTAGCTTGTAGAGTCCAGGTCTGGTTAATTGCCAGGGTAGCAAAGAATCGCATGCACCAGTATACACAGGAGTCAAAATGCATTCTTAATCTAAGATCGAATTGCACATTGTAGAGATGTAATGGCTGTGATTAAGCTGCACACGTATGCTGGGAATGGCCTGTGTGGATGGCTAGTATAATGTTGTTGGCCATAGAATCACTAACACCTCTCATCTGCTTGAAATACGGAACCATATTCTAAAATTCCAGCCACTGGGGGTCTTGTTCACCACAGGATAAATCCAAACCACAGAACTTTGCGGCAGTTCACAACCAGACAGGAGCGTATCTGCAAACGCTCTTGTCTTCACAGATGTTTAATAAAGTAAAACTCTGGATCTGACGTGGCCCAGAATTTTCTTTCTTTTTCCTCATTGTGGGTTTGTAAGTGGGATTATAGAACAGTAGTGATCTACATTCACTGGTTTTGGGGGTCCTTTTCTGGATGATATACACGTTATTAACAAGACTGCCCTTTGCTGGGAACCAAACTCCCTGGCTGCCCACAGATTTCCCTCCCATATGGGAACAAAGTGATCTGGCCAGAGAAAGCTGATATTCAGGGGGGGGGGCAAATCCATGTACCCACATGAGTCACTTCAGAAGCAGAAGGCCTAAGGTGGCACCCTGCCCTCCAGCATCCTAGCAGGCATGCAAAACTGGCTGGCTTTCTTCCAGGCTCTAGAAGCTTCCAGATGGCCTGTGAGAGTGTCTCAGGAGGGGCAGAAATGGTGGTTGGTCCCATCTCTTGAAGTTCAGTTTCCTGGAAGTCGAGGTAGGGATGGCTGGGAGATAGCCTGTACCTGTATCAGAACATATGCCACCAGGCAGCTGGGCCTCAGTTTCTCTGTAAGGACAGCAGCTAGGGCTAGCCATCTGTAAGATCACACAGTCGCTCTCCATCTGGTTTATAGAGTAGTATGCTGGTTTGAACCCAAGGAGTTGGAGACTCAGGACTCTTCCTCCCAGAGAGTCAGGTTTAGTTAAAAAGGAACGTGATTCAATATCTCCAGACACTGGGTTTCATTTTGATTTAGGGCTTCTTTATGTGTTCTGCATATCTGAAAAACAAAACCCCCCAAACAGCCTTGCCTAATAGGAGACAGAAAGGGATGGGTGGAGGTGGAAGCTGCTAGCCCAGGGAAGTGCCTGAACTCTGGCCTCTCTCCCAGGCTCCCGCTGGCCCCTCTGCTGGCCCCTGTAGCCTTGGGCTGGCCCCTCTGCTGGCCCCTGTAGCCTTGGGCCCGCTCAGACGCCACCTCCCACCTCTCTGGCCAGGCCCGTTTCAGCCATCGGCTTCCTCCAGGGGCCGGCCCAGGCCCTCCGGGCCCACATGGCAAGATGTAGGCACGGTGGCGGCTCAGGTGCCTGGCTGGGGACCACGCATGAATTCTGCTCAAGTCTGGGCTGACATTCACTCTCCTCTGTCGAGGCTGGGGAGCGCTGCTTCCAGTTCTGATAGGGCGCATCCGGAAGGGGCGGGGCCACAGGGGGCGGGGCCCCGCGCAGGCCACGCCCACCAGGGGGGTGAGCTCACAAAGACCCAGCGAAGCCGGGGTCAGGAGGCGGGGGTCAGGAGGCCGGGGTGGAGGCGGGGCACAGGAGGCCCTGCCTGCGGTGATTGGACCGCGCAGGTGAGGGGAGGCCAGGATAGAAGGGGGTGCGGAGGAGAAAGTCCTGTCCTCGCCTTCTGGCGCCTTCCCTGACGCCTCTCAGGAT